CCGGGCGCAAAGGCTCCCAATGGTTCGAACTTAGCCGCCCGCTCGCCATCCATGTCGTCGCCGACGACCGCTTTTTCCCCGTCTTCCGCCGCTTCTGTCATCCTTCCTGCTATGTCGACGAGCATTACTTGCCCACAATGATCACCATGAGCTTCGGCCACCTGAATGCCAATCGGAGTCTTACATGGGTCGATTGGTCGCACGGCGGGGCGCATCCGGCGAGGTTTATTCGTCCCGCGGTCACGCCGGAGCTGTTGCGGTGGATGAGGGGCGGCTCCACTTGCGAGTATAATGGGAGGAATACTACGGTTTGCTTTCTTTTCGCGAGGAAGTTTCATTCGAGCTCGTTGACAAGGTTGTTGAGATTTGCTCCAAAGGTCATGGGCTTTGGCGGGAGGTAGTTCTGTAAATGTAGAATTTTTTTTTGATGGTTTGTTATTTAATTTGTTGATTGTTTGCTAATAATGTGAAGAAAAACTGCAGCTGATTTTCAATAGCTGAGATGAAGGATTTGTCGAACCAAGTACTGAACTTCTGTCCCATACAGATGAACATAAATGGAATGTGACAATTGCTTCTTAATATGTATTAAATCTGCAAATCAGGATCCTATTGAAGGTCTAATTATTGGGTACGAAGCTGCGTGCGCTCTCCAATCACAGCCTCACATCGCGGACCCACTGTCATACAGCGCGATGTGCGACTGTGATCCGAGAGCTGCGTGCGCTCTCCGCACACAATAATCGCTCCTATTGAAGACTAGTTGTCTGAATAACTTTCAATTTTTAATTATTTTATATTTTTGTTTTATTCTGTTTATATAATCTTTAATTTGAAATAAAATATACTGCAAAGAAGCTAATTTGCTTTTCAAAAAAAAAATTAAAATGACTCTTTTAACTATTTTGTGAATTAAGAAATACAATTAACTTGTTAAACAAATAAAGAATAATATTGAAATAAAAGTAAAATATAAGACAGAAGTAATCTCAAGTGGCCTCCAAGTCTTCTCCTTAAAGCATATCCCATTCCACATTAGCGAAGCACCGCCAAAATGCTACTAGTAGTCAAATAGTCCCCAATTACATGGTGTCATTTTTGTCCCAGAGTTTATAGGTATACCAGTTGATCCCGGGAATCTTTAAATTGAAGCTAACTTAGTCTCTTTAGAGGACTGCTAGTGCCCCAATTTAAAAAGTTTGCCAACTAATTTGCCACTCATTTGAATTCTGGGATTAAAACGACCCCATGTAAATAGTTAAGAGACTATTTTTGCACTTCGCTCAATACAATCATGGCAAGAACTTAAACTGGTTTTTGCAATGAGAAGATAAAGGGCTTCTCTTAAACACATCTCTCCCACCCTCAATCTCTCTCTTGAGGTTTCTATTCCATATTTGTATGTGGAATGATGCCTTTATAGACTTTCTAAAATGGTCTCTTCCCTAAATGATTTGACTGCATCAAAGCTTAGGATATGTTATGACTACCTTGGCATAGTTATTTACCTATAGGATAATCCATAAGCAAGTGACATGCTCTGCCACGAGTTAATTGCTATTCAACAATTGGGTGAAGCTCGGGCTGGAATTAGCTCAGAGTATAGTTGTCTATACTGAGGGTATGGCACACACTCATTAAATAGAAGTAAATATCAACAGAATCACAAAGGCAAATTTTTACTTCAAATTAATGCAAAAGTTTTCACCAGATTTACGGTGGACTTCTAAATTACTTTTTTGCAAGAAATTATTGTTGGATTTACGTCTTAGCATTGTACAAAAATCTACACACATATAAAAGAAGTGCTAAAATAGGAACACTGAAGATTTTACACGAAAATTTCAAAAAGAAAAATAAAATAGGATTTGACGTAGTTAAAATAATTCACTAAATATTTCAAGGTACAAGGTTTTATTTCTTTTTATGTAGAAATGATGGGGTTACAATGCGCTGACTAAAGTATGAAGTTATCTGGCTAATAATTGTGTTATAATAACTACTAGTTGTGGTTGGTGATGATCTCTGGTGGTGGTCACTTTTCCATTTTCCTTAAGAGTGTGGACTTAGCTATTAGCTTCCTCCCCTCGTGTTGGAAATGAAAACTTTTTTATAGAGTTTTGGAAGAGAGTTTTTTTTATATAAATTTATCCAAAATCACAAAACACTCCACTAGTTGGTATGTGCTGATTCATTTGATCATGGATCACTATTTTAATTTTTAAGTGTCTTAACAATCTAAGAATTAAGTGATCTTGAGCTCATTGTATTTCTCTTGTAGAGACACTCGATTTGACTACAGCATGCCAAATTTGTAAATACTATAATTTTAATTGCTAAACTATTAGATGAACTTATTAAGCTTATTCTCTATAATATTATTAATTCAATTTAGGCTGCTTTCATTAAAGAAGAGATATTGTTGATAATGTTATTTTGACAAATAAGTATCTAGTTGGATTTAACCTATTAATTCAGAAAAAAATTTATTCTAAAATTGATTTACTTAAAGCTTTTGACATGGTTAATCAAACTTTTCTTTAAGACAAAATGATTAGATTGGGATTTTTTATTGGTTTTATTTGTTAGATTAAGGCTTGTACGAATGATGTTTATTTTTATGTTATCGTTAATGATGAAACATTTGGTTACTTTGATTCTTTTTCTAGTTTGAGGCAAGTTCCTCCTCTTTCTTTTTATTTATTTGTTATTATTATAGATGCACTCTCTTTATGATTGATACTTAGAATTGTTTTATCATGTAAAAACTTTTTAAAAAATTATTCATCTAATTTATGCTGATGACCTTTTAATTTATGGGGATACATATTCTCTTATTATGCATCAACTTGTTAATAATCTGAACATTTTCAGTCATGCTACTAATTTGGTTATTAATTTACTAAGTAGGTTATTTATTTTTCTAAGAAAGTTGATTATAATTTACAAGGTTATATTTGTATGATTAGTAGATTGAAAATCATCCCTCTTCCTTAAAAATATATTGGTATTACTATAAATTATTCTAAATTGAATGTGATAGATTGTACAATCATTATATATAAGTTTCTTTTATGGTTGGCCGATTAGAAAAAAAAAGTGTTATTTATGGCCGGATGCTTCCAATTATTCTATAAGAAGTTATCTTTATTATTGGTTTTGTTTTATTTCTTCACCTAAATATATTAAGAAAAGAATTACCTCTTTTCTTAGTAATTTTCTTTTCATAGTAGTAATAAGAAGAAAATATCTACTATTTCTTCGCATATTACTACTCTTCCTAAAGTTTTTGGAGGCATTGATACTTCCTCTTTAAATACTGTTAATTTAATGTGTAATTTGTAGATTATGAGGAGGCATTTTAATTCTAATTCCTTATTAGCTAATTGGAGTAAGGGTTATTATTGCACATTGTGGTTTGAAACTATATCCAAAATCTCTACATTTTGGAGAGATTTGATTAAATTTGAATTAAAGATTAAAAGGGATCTTACTTTTTAGGTTTATACTAAGAACAATCTTCTTTTCTTTTTGATCTCCGTCTTAATGGATCCTCTTTATTTGAAATTTATGGTAATTTGACTTTTGAATGATTTCATTTCTCTAAACTTTTTCAAATAAAATATTTTCTTGTTAATGGTTTTTAGTCTTTTCCTCAAGATTAGGACATTTCAGCTTATTGTTTAAATCTTTTTCAAAGTGTACTTATTTATGAAGATTATTTAACCTATCTTTGGAAAGGTAAAAACCATTTTAATAATAAATATGTCTATCATTTTATTTATGAAAAACTCACGGTTTGGTATAAAGGTTATTATTGAAATTTTACTTTGTTTACTTGGAGAATTTTTAATTTTGAATTTAAAACTAGTGTTATTCTTTATTCAAGAGGTATGAATATTAATCTTAATTACATTTTATGCCTTAATGGTATCAAAACTCATAAGCATCTATTTTTTGGATGTTTCTTTTCCCACTTTTTCTACAAGAATTGTAGTCCTTTTGTAGATTATTTCATTATTGATAGTAAATTTTTTCAAGTTTGTTTATCATGTTAAGATTATTAATTGTAAAATTCATAAAAAAAAATTTATCTTTTAGCCATACAAACTATTGCTTATACGATTTGGGTTGAGAGAAATAATAGAGTTATTAATAATTTTATTAATTCCATTCAAAATATTTTAAGAGAAATTCTATGGAAGATTAAGATCAAAAATAGAAATAAAAGTTTAAATATGAAATTCCTAATTTTATTAGAATTTTTCATAATTTATAACATTCATTACTTTTGTTTTTCTTTCCTTCCTTTGTTTTTTTTTTCTTTATTAATGTTCTCATTTTGCTTGGATGGTTTTGGTTAGCTTTTTAGGTTGGTCGTTTTGTTCTGGCTGTCCTTCTGTCTTTTAGTTTTTTTTTATGAAATTTATTTTAGGTTGTTATTCTTTTAAATTAGATGTTTTATTGATTGATGAATACTATTATTTAGTCTTAGTTTTTGTGGTTGATTCTCAGTAAAGCTTAGTTTCATTAATTTTTGTTAAGATTTAATAATTATTTGGAATTTTTTTCTTGATTTTCTCATTTACTCTGTTTAATTCATTAAATTTATATGGATTACCATCTATTTAATTTATTAAATTTGTAGTTGAGTTTTTATTTAGAAATTTCTTTCACTAAATCCAGATGGATTTTGACGTTCTGATATGGTTTTGATTGAGCTTTTTTTTCTTTTTCTTTTTATTTTGTTATTATTGTTTTGCTTTTAAATTTTCATGTATTCGTTGTTGTGGTTGGTGTGATTTTTAGTGTTTTATGTGGTTATTTATGAATGCTAATCTTGGCTACCTATTTTGTTGGATTTCTTTTGGTGGTTGTTATTTGGGTGCACTTTTTGCTGTTTGATAGTGCATCAGTTTGTGTGGCATTATTTCAGCCAATTGTAGTGTTTAAGATTGTTATCTAGTTACTTTATATCGTTATGACTACTTTATTCTGGGTTGATTCTTCATTTTTATCATAAAGTTTTATTGATTGATGGATTCTACTCTTTCGTCTTAATTTTTGTGACTCATTTTAGTTAATGTTATGAACTATCATATCATATATGAAAAAATCTAATCTTTTTTTTTTTTTTGCAATATATGCCTGATTTTCTCATTTGCTCAGTTTAATTCATTAATTTTAGATGGATTTCCATTTGTTTTATTTATTAAACTACTAATGAGTTTAATATGTTGTGGCAGATGAGTCTTGTTTTGAAAATCTGGATTTCCATCTACATTGGCTCTTTAAATCAGAAATTTACTTTTCTATGAATCTGGATGGACTTTGATGTTATGCTATAAGTTTGGCTTAGCTTTTTTCTTTACTTCTTTCTTTTGTTAATTACATTTGGTTTTATTCTTTCTTGTTTTTATTCCTTGTGGTTGTTACTAGGTGTTGTGGAAGATCTTTTCTTACCAGTTATTTAGTGTTGTTTTAGTTTTGTGTGGTATTTTTTTGTCTTTTTTTCTTTTCTTCTTTCTTTTGTTGATTACATTTGGTTTTATTCTTTCTTGTTTTTATTTCTTGTGGTTGTTACTAGGTGTTGTTGAAGATCTTTTCTTACCAGTCATTTAGTGTTGTTTTAGTTTTGTGTGGTATTTTTTTGTCATTGCTTGTAATAATACCTTCTCTAGTTGGCATTTTGCAGAAAGACTTATTTTGCTATTTGGAGGTCTTCACTTGGTGGCTACTGTTGGAAGTTATGGTTTCAAGTTTTGTTATTTGTAAGATTGTCTTTTTTGTAGTCTTTCAAATAGGCTTTTTTGAAGATTTTTTTTATATTTATTTTGAAGGGTGAAGAACTTCTTTGAGTGGTTGCTATTCTCTATTTGTCTAACTTAACCTTCTTTTTCTTGAAGATGAATATGCAAGTTAGATTATTAACTTCAATTTTTCTTAGGGTTGGATATTGTTTGTGCTGTTGAGGGTCTGTTTGGGGCAGCTGCAGCTTATTGTATAATCTGCTGATAAGATTATTAAATATAATATACTAATAAGCTACGTGTGGTGGCTATTGCAAATTTTTATTTTTTTTAAAAAAGTCATACTACTGCCAAAAAGCTGTCACTGCATCTAGATAGTTGCGGTCTGAAAACGCTGTTTTCAACATTTTCAATACGCATAAGCTGCGAAAATGCAATTTACCCAAATAAGTCATGTGCATTTATGTTGTGTTGTGTTGGACTTTTTATTATTATTATTTTGAGTCTTTTATTATTTTTTGTATTTAAGAATCGTCGTGTTTTTATTGAATTGTGTTAGCCGCTTCTTCGATGGCAATGCCGGCAACCGCGGCTGTCTCCCCTCCCCTTTGTCTTCCTTTCTCTTCTTCTCTCTCTCCCTCCACCTGCAATTCCATTCTCCATTCCCATTCTACGGATTCTGTTCGATCCCGAAGCCATCACTACAAACTTTCTTCTTCTTTCCAGCTGAAGCGGATCCAACCCGAGTCCCTCGCCTTCGCGCTCGAGCAGTCCGCGGAGAAGGGATCTCTCCGAGAAGGATTGCAAATTCATGCTCGCCTCCTTCGCCTCGGCCTGCTCACCTGCGATGACGCCAACCACCTCTTCCACCACCTCCTCCTCCTCCTCTACTCCTTTGCTGGGCGGCCTGACTCCGCCGCTGCGGTCCTCCGCCTTATCCCTTCCCATATACTCACAACTTTCTTTTTTAACACGGTCATCCGCGACCTCGCAGCTTCCTTCCCGGAGCTTGCGGTTGACCTCTTTATCAACATGCTCGTCGCGGGCCTATGTCCCAACGAGTTCGCGTACCCATCCGCCCTACGCTCCGCATCGCTACTCGGCCGTCTCTTTCTAGCTCCACGCTCACGTACTGAAATATGGTCTTCAGCATCACAATGTCTTCTGCGCCACCGCACTTCTTGATCTGTACGCTAAACTGGCTCCTCTATCAGATGCGCGCAAATTGTTTGATAGAATTCCCAACAGAAATGAGGCTACTTGGAATTCAATGATTGCAGCGCTTGTGGAAAACGGGTTGCTGGAGAGCGGATTGGAAATGTTGGAGATGATTGAAGACGATGGGTTCCAGGTTGGTGTTAGCAGCTGGAATTCATTTCTTGCTGGCTGTGTTCGCTCAGGGAACGTCGAGCTTGCTTGGGAGATTCTTGTAGAGATGGTTTCTAGATCAGCAATGAGTATGAATGCAGCCACATTTAACACCCTTCTTCCTGTAATTCCTGAAATTCCTTTAAATTCGCTCAAGGAGCTGCATGGCTTTGCTCTGAGGAAACTAGAGATAACGGAGATGACTCTAGTTGATAAAGATCGATTGTTGTCGGCATTAACAGCTGGATATAGTATCCATGGATTGATGGACTATGCTTTTCGGCTCTTTGATAGTCTTAACTTGAAGAGTCCCCATCTATGGATTTCCATTATTTCGGGTCTGTTCACATGTAATCGAGCAGATGAAGCATTCGTTGTGTTCCGTGAGATGTCTTCTCTGTGCGTTCAAGCTGCTCAAACACTCTCAAGAACATCCTTATCATTACTCCTTTCAGAATGCTCCCCAACGTCAAAAACTGGATTAGAGATCCATGGCTATGCAGTAAGAAAATGCCTAGATTCGAGTACATCTGTAGGCAATGCCCTCATGGCCATGTATTCTAAGAAGGGTGACATGGACTCAACTCTCAAAATCTTTGAGAAAATCCTTGAAAAGGATGTAGTCTCATGGAACACAATGGCTGCAACCTATTCTGCAGCCCATGATGTTGATAAGGCATTCGAGCTCTTCCAATGCATGCTTGCTGAAGAAATCGAACCAGATGAATTCTCTTTCAGCTCCATCCTCAAGAGTTGTGGCCATTCAACTCATCTTGTTCAAGCAACAACATTGCATGGGAGAATGATCAAGAGCGGTGTCTCTCAATCATTCATGGTGGGTCCATTCTCTCATGGATGCCTATGGGAAATGTGGGTGCTCATCAGACGTCAGAAAAGTTTTTGAAGGAATGGATTCTCGTGATATTATTTCTTGGAACACCATCATCTCCTGTTACGGTTTCAGCGATTATCCTCACGAAGCTTTACTACTTTTCGAAGAGATGAAAGCAGAAGGTTTTCAGGCCAACAGAGTCACCTTCGTTGCTCTCCTAACAGCTTGTAGTCATGCAGGGAAGCTCAAAGAGGGTTTCCAATTCTTCGAAGCAATGAGGAAGCAATATGGAATCATTCCTGATGTAAGCCACTATGCTTGTCTGGTGGATTGCATGGGAAGAATAGGAGAACTTCATGGGGCGTATGAATTCATTAAAAATATGCCTATTGAACCTGATGACTGTGTTTGGAGTGCGTTGCTTAGTAGTTGCAGGATTCATGGTGATTTGGATCTAGCAGAAGTAGCAGCTAGCCATCTTATACAGTTGAAGCCACAACATTCAGGATATTGGGTTCTTCTATCTAACATATATGCTGATGCTTCCAGGTGGGATGATGTGGCTAAAGTGAGAGCAGCCATGAAAGAGGCGAGTGTGAAGAAGTTTCCAGGTTATAGCTGGATTGAAATTAGTCAGAGTGAGGTGCACCAGTTTCTTACTGCGGATAAATCTCATAAAAATAGTGGTGATATTTATCTTGCTCTGGAAGGACTGACCTTGCAGTTGCAAGATGAGGGTTATGTCCCCCGCCTGGATTTGAAGTTTTCTTGGAAGGGCTCATTTGATTGCTTGAAGTCATAGTTTAGTGTGAAATCCTGATCCCAGCCCCAGAATCAAAACCTTCCTTCGAGCCTGTATCCCGATATTGAGGTAAGCTTCATTCCCTGATTGTGTTTCTGATTCTGTTGCCCGAGAACAAAAGAACTATTCATAGCTAGAATTGCGTGATCGACTTGTTGGGACTATTGGGGATGATAGAGAGTCCTCTAGCCCGGTCCCGTCCTTGTGTCCTTGTCTTCCGATTTGACCGAGCTAGCAAATCTCAATTTCTTCTGTGGCTAGGTCCAGCATTCCCTTCCTTCGTTGCCTTTGAGTTTCATAAGGATTGAAGAAGCTTTCCGGGATCATAGGCATTTCGAGCTATAAATTATGTTTTAAAAATACTAAATTTGTTAAATTTAATTATTAATTAGCCTAACTTTGATTTCAAACTTCATAAACCTCCTAAATCTCCATGAAAAATGAGGATTTTAATTTTAAATTGTATTTTCATTTAAAGCAATCTAATAAGCCCTTAGCACATCCACTGCATCTGTCAGGTAGCTAAATAGCTTATGGAGAGGGAAATTGGATTGCCACATTAAGATTGTTATTGTTGTTATTTTAAACCGAGATTTTGCTTGCTACATTTTTTATTGGGTCTTCAATCGCCAACCAAAATTAATTTAAGAATTCAGTAGAGGCCAAATTTACACTGACAAGCCTTTTCTTCTTGGGAAATTTACATGCATACCTTACCGTTCACTAAAGTAGCTGCAGTGTTATCTTGGCATCAGTTAAACCACAAACGTACCAGTTCACATTAGGTTTCGGTCGGCATCAGAACCACTGCCTAATGGGTAGATGGAATACAGATCGCAAATTCTTTAGTGCGACATGATTATGGGTGAAATGTTATATTTACGTGCTACTTAAGCTAGGTTTTATGTCTTGGTCAGATCTAGACCCAATTGTTCCAAATGTGCTTGATTTTGACCATGGGATGGGGTCAAGGTGAAAGCTGATAGTCTTAATAACTAGCTGTTATCATGAGTTAACGTGGTAACTTAGTTAGGCTAGGACTATAATTATTTGATGGTGGATTTGCATACATCCCAATTAAAACCTTCTTTATTTTCATATCTAACATCTAAAATTATTTATTTATTTTAATACCACCTAAATTTTGTTAATAAATCAATTTGGGATAATGGGAATCAAAACTTTGGGGGCTCATCCGATGTGAATTTTTGGGTGGAATGTCTTCTGCAATCAATTGTTTTTTGTTTTAAATTGATTTTTGTAAATTTATTGTCATCCTTCTTGTTGCAACCAGAACTTGATGCTTTGTATGTGTGGATATGGTGGGGTTCTGTGACATGAGTGATAGAGTTGATGTATTAAAAATTTTGAGATAATTACATAGAGACCACCCGATATATTGATATTTTCAAATTAATCATTCATATGATTTTTTTTAACTACGGAACCAATGTATTTATTTTTTAGGTGGCATAAAAATAGATAAATCATTTTAGGTGTTAGATATGAAAAATAAGAAGGCATATCCTTATTTTATTTGACTTAGGTTTTCCTATTAAGTGTTTGAACTAGAGTAGATCTGATAGGATAATATTGATTAGTCATTGTATTAGCTTAATAAATATAGTTAACTGATTTGTTAATATTGTTTAGTAGTTTGTGTCTCTATAAATATCTCCTATTAAAGATATTGAAAGGAATGGAAAAATGAAGTTTCTTTCTCTTCCCTCCGATTTCTTCTTATTCTTTCCCTTTTCTTTATTGTTTGGAGTTGAAGGCTTCCTCATATTGTCGTTCATCATTCTTATCCGAATTTCTATACTTATACTTTTACTCTCCTCCTAACTTCTGGAGTTGTCGGTATCCATGAATTGTTGAGTATCAAGGAAAAGGATGGCAATGAGCCTGAGTCACTGACTCGCTGGTTGAAGTTGTGTTTAGTTAGCCATATCCTCTTTCCATCGCAAAAAAACTTGAGCTTAAGTGGCATAACGTATCTCTGACCATCGTCATTGAGAAACTTTGACAATTGATCTACTAATGATGGAATGAATATTTTGTTTACTGAATCACATAAAATTTTAGCTTACTCCACCCATATATATCATATAAACAAAAGCAAGGTAGTGAAATGTAGGACATTTTTTATGCAAGTTCGAATTTGATCTTGAGCCAGGTACAAATAGAAATTTCTGTTATTTTGGATGATGGAGCCTTTTATTATGTAGTGATGATATTAATGATATTATGACATGCGTGCACAAGGAAGAAACAAATTAATGAGTTAAGGATTCAATCTGTTTTCTATGAATGAGATAAAAATAGAAGAATCGAGAACAATATAGAGTTTCTCCTTTTTTAGTACAAGCAATTAAATTTTTCAAAAAGGACTTCAAAAATCTTTTGTGTATGTATATTATTATAGGAGTAATCTTTGGGAAGTACATGTAAATATAATCACACTTAGGATGATCAAACTGAAATTATAAGTTAATATATGCTCTAAAGTTGCAGATATCATAAAAAAATGTCCTTTTTAAAAAATTGAAGTTAGGGGCATAAATAGAATCTAAAATTCGTTTGATTCTATTAGATCTAAGGCATTGATACTTTTAACTTGAAAAGTTATCTATGCCAACACTCGTTCTCGAACCAAGATGAACTAGCACTATTTACTAAGAGCATCATTCCTACCAATTTAATAATAATAGAAACTTCATGTTAAATTGTCTATATTCAGTAAAGTTCAGGAAACAATTAAGAAAGATACATTTTCATTCATATATTCATATGAAAATGTTCAATATCAATACTACTGAATTAGTAAATTCATATTTATAATGTCTTATTTAATAATCAACTTTATCCGTACTAGAAGCATTGTTTTTGTTTATATAGAACAATCAGAACTAAAAAGTTTTATTCTCAGTCGGGGTATAAGATGTATAATTTTTTTTGGAGTGATTTTGCGACTCAACGCCTTAGTATAAAGTAGAATGGAATATTTAGATTCTTTCTTGTCTATTGTAATTGTGCTTTTCTATTTTTAAAACACAAGTCATAGGAAAGAAAAACCATCTAATGAATTAAATATTAATAAATATTAAAAAATACACAATACTGCGTATTTTGAATTAAGTAGATAGAAAGATTCTTTTTTTTTTTCATATTACCTTGCTCTAACTAATAAT